GTGGGAGGCGGCGCGGCCCGCTGCTTGTGCCCCCGGCGGGCGGTTCCTGGCCAGTCCTTCAGCTTCCCCTTCTTTCGGAACGGGCCTGGGCCTTGATGTCCGCACTGGGTTCAGGTCCGAAAGCACCGCCTTGGGCTCTGGGAGTGGTGACAGTAGGCGGCCGGAGCGTGGAGGAGGAAGCCTGCCCCCGTGCTCACGGCGTGGGGACTCCTCCGAAATCACTTGCGGTGCAAGGCAACCTGCGGGCCGTTCCGTGAGCGCCGCGCATGCCAGGACAGACCCTCCCCTGCGCGGCTCTCTGGGGAGCACTCAGCCAGATAACGACATCCCCGTGACCGTGACCGGGAGGGACCAGGAAGTAGTGGCTGCTAGGACCGGAGGGCCAAAAGTTTTTGTCAGAATTTCCTCACGGCCACGCCTCCTTGCAGTCTCTTTTATGGACCTGGTGGTGGAACTCGACTCCGCCAGGGCCAGCGCGGGGTGGGGGTGGGGGCCTCCCCAGCTGGGGTTTGATAGAAACCGAAAACTTCACAGATACCGGAAGATGGGGGAGAGAACCAAACTTTGGCAATGACCCCAGCAGAGAAACAGCAGGATGTGGTTGCCACAATGTCCTGGCAATGATTTGATAAATAATATTTGTGATGAATGAAATCAGTTTCTTAACCCAGGTGTTTGCCCTCCCTAACAGTAGCATCCTGGACAGGACACAGCTTTGTTCTTGCTCACAGAAGCACTCAGTAACTTTCCCGACTTGCACTCAACAGAAATCCTTTGCCATTTTTTTCATGGTTTCAACTTCACAAGGATCTTCAAGACAGCTCTGAGGAGTACCGGGTGGGGGCTGCCCTGTGTTTTCAGGAAGTGAAGCCCGGGCATGGGAGTCTCTTGACCCTGTTGCTGCTGTGGCTGTGTTTATTTGGGTGGCTGTAGGCCTGCCCTCTGTTGCCCTTGGCTGGGATACTTAGCTCTTTGTTTCTATAAAGTTGGGATAATTTCTGGGTGTTGCCTCTCTCCTATCCCATGGTGTAGAAAAAAGCAAGTCAACAATCATTTTATGACCACTGTGCCTCTAGAGATTTGCCTGTAAGGTTTTAAACAGTCTTTTTGGGTTTCGGTATATTTTGGTTTCCGTGAGGTGGAAAAGGGCCAGGTGCAGGCAGGCAGCTTTTAGTTTTGGACCATCCCTTTGGAGCAGGTGGCCAGGGAAGGGCTGACATGGGTGGAGTGTGTTCATGGTCAAGTTTGTACCTTCTGATAATGCCAGCAGTCAGCATTCAAAGTGCAGTGTGAAAAACTGAGCAGAAGGAGAATGGTTCCCTTTTGGAAGACTGTTGGCCTGAGCCCAGTGTGAGTGGATCCCTGTGCTGACCGGTCAAGGAGGGGGCAGTATTCCTGTTTACCTGTGGAGATAACCGGTCATCTAGTGCAGCCCTGAGTGGACTGTGCACTTGAACTTCGGTTGTGCAATACAGGACCGTGCAGCTTGTTATTGCTTTTCCTTGTGGTCACTCCAGATTTTCCTCTTAGGAGGCAGCCTCGTGGACCTGTGAGTGGCAGAGTGTATGTGTGTTGGTTCTGGCTTCGTAAGTTTGAGGAATCTCAGAGACAGGCCACTGTTCCAGCTCTTCTGAGGTTGGAAGTACCCTGGAGGGAGTTGGGAAGGCTAAGAAGAAGGCTTTGCACCGGGCGGTGGTGGTGCACGCCTTTAATCCCAGCACTTGGGAGGCAGAGCCGGGAGGATCTCTGTGAGTTCGAGGCCAGCCTGGACTACAGAGTGAGTTCCAGGAAAGGCACAAAGCTACACAGAGAAACTCTGTCTCGAAAAACAAAACAAAACAAAAAAAAAAAAAAAAAAAAGAAGGTTTGCTTCCCAACAGGTCAGAGCAAAACCATTTTATTCAGTTCTGTGTTTCAGTTGTCAGAGCAAACCCATTTTTATTCAGTTCTGTGTTTCAGTTGTCAGAGCAAACCCATTTTATTCAGTTCTGTGTTTCAGTTGTCAGAGCAAACCCATTTTTATTCAGTTCTGTGTTTCAGTTTTACCTGTTTGTGTAGAGAGGTCTGCTAAAATGGAAATTTGAAAGTAACAGATCCAATCAAGTTCTTTTTTTTGCTATAGTCGTTTCCCATTACAACCATTGCACTCTCCTCCTTGAAGAGATGGGCCTGTTGTCTCTTCAACCCTGTTCTCTAGCCCTCTTCTTTAGATATGCCAAGGTTGTTTCTGCCTTACCATCTTTGCGTCTCCTCCCTTTTTGTCAGAATGTGTCCTTAGGTCCCTGTGTGACTGATAGTTTATTATCAGGTTCTACCATGAATACTGCTTTCCCGCAGAGTCCTCTCTACCTCCCAGGTCTTTCCCCATGTTGTCTGTGTACTTACAGCACTCACCTAGACATGAACTTACCTGGGTTGTTTGTCTCTTCCTGTTGAAGATAAGCTCCTTAAGGACACAGAGATCCAGCTGGCCAGTGCCAGACACATGGTGTTCAGGGTATGCCTGTTTACTGGTTAATATTTATAGAGGAAGCTGAAGCCAAGGAAAGTGAGGTGTCTCCTGTTAACTCAGGGACAAAACCAGGATCTGAACTCTGCATTTGGTTGGCTTCTGGGTACAATGCTTACTTTCTGATTCCTTCTGCACCTGGAAAGGTGGCCCCAAGGTTCTGAAGCTGATGAACCCGATGAACCAGTGCACTCACTGTGAATAGAGTATGCTCTTGGGCTTTTTTTCCTCTCTCTCTGTTTTGTCAAGACAGAGATTCATGTAGTCCAGGCTGGCCTCAAACTCACTAGGTAGCCGAGGATACCCTTGAACTTGTGATCCTCCTGCCTCGACTTCTCAAGAGCTGGGACCACAGGTGTTTAACACCATAACCAGTTTTTTGTTTGTTTGTTTTTCAAGACAGGGTTTCTCTGTTTAGTCCTTGCTGTCCTGGAACTCACTTTGTAGACCAGGCTGGCCTCAAACTCAGAGATCTGCCTGCCTCTGCCTCCTGAATGCTGGGGTTAAAGGTGAGTGCTGCCACCATGCCCGGCCCATAACTAGTTGTTTTTTTTTTTTTTTTTTTTTTTTTTACTTTGGAATCTTATAAATGTTTTTAATAATAAGAGTTGGCACTGGAATATTTCAGGGTGTTTATCAGCTAATAGGGACATTGAGATAGCCCCACTCAGGGGCAGTGAGGTGACTCAGCAAGTCCAAGTCCAGCTGCCTGAGTTTGATCCTGGAACCTAGGTGCAAGGTGAGAACTGACTTCTGAAAGTTGACCCCTGACCTCCACACACACGGGCCATGGCACATGTGTACCTCTGTATATGTGTGCATGTTTCACACACAAACACACATACACACACACACAAACACACACATGCGTAGACACACAATAAATTAAAAAAAAATAGCCCAATCAGATCACACAAGCTGCTGTGAAAGTTTATATGCCTTTTTAAATGGTCATTTGAGGTGTCCTGGGTTTGTTTGACTGTGGGTCTGAGGACTGGATATAGCATGTGAATCTGAATGCTATTTGTCTTTCTGATTGGAGAGTCTGAATAAGAACAGCAGGCCAAGAGCCTGAAGGCTTAGGTCTTATTTCTGCCCTTCCAGCTAGAGTTCTTTCTTGGAGCCTCAGGCTTCTTAATCTCAGAAATGGGACTAATGACTGACCACTCACCTACTTGTGAAGGTTATTGAAAACCTGTGGACATGCTTGAAAGCAATTCAATTTTCCCTGGCTTTTTAAAAAATTATGTTTAAAATATTTATTTATTATTACTATTAATGTATGTCTGTGCGTGCACTTTTGCAACAGTAGGCCTGTGGAGGTCACAGGATAACTTGCACGAATCCTTTCTCTCTTTCCACTATGTGGGTCCTTCAAATGGAATTCAGGTTGCCAGGCTTGGCAGCAAGCACCTTTATTCACTGAGCCGTCTTGCTGGCCCTTCCTAGCTTTTTTCTCTTCCTTTTCGTTTTGAATAGGTGATCTACTCATATGGTTCAAATTGCACAGTTTTCAAAGACTTAAAGGGTTTGTAGAATGCAGGCGAGTGAAAGGGTTTGTTTGATGGTTGCTTTTGTTGCCCTATTCCTTTCTGGATGACCAGGGATGGCAAGCTTGCTTCTCCTCAGCTCTCCCTGCTCCCTGCTACACTGCCCGCTAGGAGAGCTCAGCTCCAGACATAGTCCATTCCCACCGCTGCTTCCTCCTTTCATGTGGGCAGCACAAAGGCCTGTTATGTAAACTTGGTTTTGCAGATCACTAGGTACACAAGGCCCCAAGCACAGGGAGCCTGGTTAGGATCTCATCCCTTTACTGGCTTGTCAGGCCTCCTGGCCGCTTGGTAGAGACTACCACCACCACCCCTCCTCTCTCTCTTTTATTTTTATTTTTTTCTCTTTTGCTATTTTGAGACAGAGTTTCTCGGTGTAGCCCTGGCTGTCCTGAAACTTGCTCTGTAGACCAGACTGGCCTTGAACTCCCAGAGATCTGCCTGCCTCTGCCTCCCAAGTGCTGAGATTAAAGGTGTGTGCCACCACCGCCCAACTTCTTCATGGAATTTGTGCCTTTGACCAGGACTTCCAGCTCATTGTCCTTGACTCAAGCTGTTCCTGGCCTTATTAATGTACTTTGTTTTCATAGCTGCTCCTGTTACTCCCAGAGCAGGAGTAAGGAGGGCTTAAAAGGGTGTGTCTGTGCTGGTGATGGAGTCCAGGGCCCGTGCGCTCTAGACAAGTGCTCTCCTACTAAGCTACACACTCAACCCCGACTTTTTTGTTTGCCTTCCCAGTTCTTCCTGTCTAGGACCTGGCTTTTCATCCGTGCCTTTTCTATTTGGATAAAATCAATTTGACTTTTTGGTTCTGCTCAGAAATAGCAAAAGGACTGTTAGATAAGAGATGTTCTGGGTCACGGTGATTGTCTGAAGAAATCTGTTCTTGATACCAGTGGTCACCATCCTCATTGTAAACTAAACCTTGCCTCTTGAGGATT